CCCCCGAAAAAAAATCCTGTGTGCGCCACTGGTATGAATGGTATTTTTGTAGAATACCGTATACTATTAATATAATGTGCTATGTGGGAGTATCCTGTCGCAGACTGCAGTGCATGAGTCGCAACTGCTTTATACCCAATATTTTTAATTTAAGTAGGTATTATTCATAACTTAAATTTTTCTCGCCTGCCGCATTTTGTCATCGCACGACGCGCATTGAGTACTCTTTTTTGACTGTTTAAAAAAGTTATCATATTTTATAGAACGTATTTATTTGTAAATTGTATTAACGGAAAGAAATGGAGAAATGGACACGAAACGCGGAAAAAACAATGTATTTTGTTTTTGACGGCTATTGAAAAACAGCACGTAATCGGCTGACTATAGCGAAAAATATTTTCCTTTAAACTAACGACAGATAATAATAAAACTGTATAACTCACCTGTAAACCTAAAGTGAAGGTCGCTGGAGTCGCTGAATACAGTGGCTAACCAAAAAAAAGTACAACAAATTAATATTATTCACACGAAATACGTCAAATGATAAAGGGTAATGACCTTTCACAATACCTCCACGATATAGAAACATCCACGGATATCTGAACGCCGCTACAATCTGTTATGGCGGACGACAATCGATACACGGAATAATATGTTGATTAGGTAGTTAAAGGTTAATAATTAAATAATATTACGTATGACGTTTTGACGTTTCGTCGGTTTATGCAGATTATCATCTTTTATGATTGGCAACTCCATGTCTTCTTGGAATTATAGTTTCGCTGTTTTGATTGTTTTTTTCTCTCATCGGCATTCCTTCGTTTACTGGTTTACTTGCGTTACGCGTTGTATTCGTCGTAAATTTTTTTAATTTTGCATAGTTTTTTTAAACTATAATTTTGTGGTTTTCGATCTGGTTCTGTAGTGTCCGCGGTACAGCGACGTCCACTCCCGTTTTACAGGTATTTAAATTAGATTTTTGTTTTATTTCACCCGTAAGTGTAAAGGGTAAACGTGTTCGCAATAGTGAGCCGGTTGTGCTGCTATTTTTAGCCGTAAAAAAAGAAGTAAGCTGGATCTTTTAGCGTTTAATGTCGCATTGTTTAGTAGGGTGGCTTGTGATTTCGTTTGTTATGTCGACGGCGATTTTCCGATTTCCACCGACGAGTAATATTTGGTTTTGTAAATGTAACGTGTATTTTCTGGCTGTTCGAAAGACAAAGGCGCATTACGAGGTCCTTTGCGTGTGCAAAGACGCGATATCTAGGAAAATCATTTTGGTGGAACTTCGATGTGACCACCTTACCTAACCTTCGATGTGAATTTACAGGGGACGAGCGGCCGCGCACCGATCGCGGAGAGCGCCCCCGAGGAGAAATCGATCGCCGAAAGCGTAAAAGTACATCCGTAGAAAATCAGAGTGGGTATTACTATATACAGGCATAAATACATGCGTCGAGAAATCGGATTTTAGCCGTCGCCGCGTTTTTTTCCTTATCCTTCCTCCGTAGAAAATCAGATTTTTAGAGTAGGTAATACCTATATACGTGCGTCGGAATTTCGATTTTTTTCGCAAATTCCTTACGTTTGACGTCCGAAAACGGCGGAGCCGGTCGTCCCCCGTCCGACGCGGTCGGATGGCCACCTACGACCCCCCCGCGAAGGACGTCGACACCGCGTACGTTAATCGCCGAGACGGCGAAACGGCTTAAGAGTCGTTGATTCGACTACAGATTTCAAATCAGTAGGAAGGTAGGAATGATTGGGCGTAGGTGCAGTTGAGACGAGGGTCGTCGGTTCGAATTCGGCCGCCGAGATTGTTGATAATTTGCGGCAGCCGTGTTAATCTGGATTTTTTTTCGCGTTTTTTTTTTTCGTCAAATACTTTTCGTTATCACTTTCTCCTTATCATATCATTCGTGTTTAACGAAATATTTTACAATTTTTTTCAAAATTCGAGTTTTACCGCCTTTATGGACCTCCCCGTCGAAGACTTATTCGCGATTCCTGCAACTAATTAAACTATTTGATAAATAGTAATACCAACACATCTAAATGTCTCTTTTATACTTGAATAGAAAATAGTACAAGTACAATATAACTAACCATTGTGTGTTAAACAGTATAGTATACTGTCATTAAATAGATGAATTAATATTGAAATTGGTAAATAAGGTAGTTGGACCTACATAACCACATCCATAAACTAATAATAGAGAGTATATATTATAAAAATATATATAATATACTATGTAGTAGGTACTTAATATATTACAGTTTTTATGTACCTATATTAAAAATATAACCTGGTGTATTTAATTAAATTATATGACTATATATACTATAACTATTTAATAAATAATAATAATAAATATTTAGTTAATACTGCTAAGGATTGTAAATACTAACTGATAGATATAATAGAACTTATAAATTATGAATAACAAATCCAGATATATTATGTACTATTTATTATATAGATTTATGTCTATACCTAATGATGTATAGTTATATAATTTAAGCATATCATGTATGTACGTGAATTAATAGTGAAATTAGTACATATTTTGGTCCATTATTGGTCTAAAAGTTTAAATGAAGTACTATTTACTATTTATATTTTCGGTATTGGTATGCCTACCATATAAAATATGTTTTTCTGTAACAGTTTGCATTGTGTGTAGGTATATTAGTTTTAATTAAAAGTGATATTGGTAAAAAAAAAAGGTAGTTGGACATAGGTAGGTACTCCAAGAGTAGGTACATAACCACATTGATTGACTAATAGAGAGTATATATTATAAAAATATATATAATATACTATGTAGTAGGTACTTAATATATTACAGTTTTTATGTATATTAAGAATATAACCTGATGTATTTAATTAAATTATATGACTATATATACTATAACTATTTAATAAATAATAATAATAAATATTTAGTTAATAGGTACTGCTAAGGATTGTAAATACTAACTGATAGATATAATAGAACTTATAAATTATGAATAACAAATCCAGATATATTATGTACTATTCATTATATAGATTTATGTCTATACCTAATGACATATTTAGTTATATAATTTAAGCATATCATGTATGTACGTGAATTAATAGTGAAATTAGTACATATTTTGGTCCATTGGTCTAAAATTATAAATTTACTATTTATATTTTTGGTATTGGTATACCTACCATATAAAATATGTTTTTTTGTAACAGTTTGCATTGTGTGTAAGTATAGTAGGTAGTGTTATAATATATGAACTAGGCAAATGTATATATTAAGTAGATGAATTAAAAGTGATATTGGTAAATAAGGTAGTTGGACATAGGTAGGTACTCCAAGAGTAGGTACATAACATTGATAGACTAATAAAGAACTGATTGAATTCTGGCAGCTACATTTTGTACAATTATATGACTACTCTATTACTTATATTATAGGTAGGTTTGATCGTTTGATGGGATCGATATATAATATACAATGTAGTAGGTACTTGGTATATTACAGTTTTTAGGTGAGTCAAATTATGTAAACGCAGTTCTGTGGTTTGTCTATTATAAACGACGTTCGATTGTGTCTGTATGTACTGTACATACCTACATAATTTTATGTACATAATATATTATATTATTGATTCAGTGGGTAGGTAGTTTTGTCAGTTAAATTATCCTAGCTCTATTCGACGATGGATGTCACAGACAATCGATTAATAATAATGTATTGGTCGATATGACTCTACTATGGATATAAAAGTATGGGTATAGGAACTTGAGCATAAACTCAAATTACTAAAAATATAATTGATATACACGGCTATTGCTATTATTTATTGAGCAACATTTTATTGGGCTCCCTTATATGGTTAAATATTAAATATATGATATACTATGTATTAGGTAGGTACTTAATATATTACAGTTTTTAGGTGATCATAAATGATACTACATTTATAAATATACACAAAATTTAAGGTTTTATTTTTAAGTTAAATTCTATAAACTGTACTATACTATTGAACTATTTAATAAATAATAATAATTAATAATTGATTTTATTATTTACACATTTATAAAGCAACGCACCCATATTATATGGTTATTTTATAATTGATAGACAATAGTACAGTATAACTATCCTTCATGTATACTATATAGCACCCACATAATACATTGGTTGAGGAAATTAAATTTGGTAATTACAAATTTTATGTAGGATACAAATACTTGCTGCTGAATTTTAATAAACTGTTATTCAATTAAATTCTGGCAGTTATATTCTATAATAATATGACTATACTATTAGATATTACTTATATAGGTAGGTTTGCCATGGGCTCGATTATGTGGTTAAACATTATAAATATATAATTTTCTATGTAGTAGGTACTACACTTTACTATTACAACGTCTACAAAGTATGATAATTAGTAACATAATTAGATAAACATAATATTATAATATAATAAAATAAATACAATGATAGACATATAATAAATATTAACATATTAGGATATATAGGTGTTATAATATACTATTATGAAGAAACATGGACAATAGAATGTTTATAGATATAAAATATTGTTTACCTATAAGTGTCGAGTAATTGTTTCCTGTTTCAGAATTTGAGTCATTTTTATTCATATTATTGTCACCTGTAAAATTAGAAATATTATTTAATTCACAATAAACAAAATAACTTGAAGGGTACTAAACATAATATTAATTATGTATATTAATAACTTAACAGCTTAAAATTTCAGAAGCAAATTAAAGGAACTTTATCACTAAGGTTAGATTATTATTTAAAAACTAGAATATAAATACACTTTATCATAAATATATTTTAAATTAAAAATAATAGTTACTTGTGAGAGATGACAAATGTGATTCAAAGTATCCGTTATTTCTAATTTTTTTACTATTACTATTAGGCAAAGATAATAGTGATTTGGAGTTTCCGTCTCGTCTCTCTTCATTTGTAATAATTTCAAAGTCTGATGTTGAGTTAGATGGAACTTGAAATAGAAACATATAAAAAAGACTCTTTGTTACTAAATTGAATAACATGGACAATTTAATAAAATGTTTATATTATATTTTAATAAGTAATTCTTACCTTTTTTTAGTTTTCTTAGACTTGGGGAATAATTTGGTGATTTATTAATTGATGATTTGGATATACTGGGTGTATGTGTATCAGAAAAATCAAGTCTTTTTTTACTGGTTCCAACTATCATGGTATTATTATCTATTTTAGGTACATTCCATTTCCCTGATGGAGAATTTAATACATTATCATCATCTACTACATCACCTATAATAAATTAAAACAAATTATTTTAATTATAACTTTTTATTCACTATTTAATAATATAAACAACATACTAATAGAACTAAAAAAAAAAAACATAAATTACATGTTCTAACAAGTAGTATAATTGCAACAATCCATAAATTCTACAACCATCTTAATTTCAAAGACACTTTCTATTATTAGATATAACAGCAAAATATTCAATGCCCAAATTTTGTTTATTTAGAATAAGTAGTAGTAAAATTATATATATATATACCTATATTACATCCTTGCAGGTAAGAAATGTCTTAGCTTCAGTATAAACCCACAACCAGTTTATTTTAGAAGAATAAAAACGAATGATATAATTTTATATGAAAATACATAAAAGTAAAGTATCATGCATTTAATTTTATACCTGAATGATGATTTTTTTTATAATTATCAGGAATATAATTTTTGTCTGCATCACTGTCATCATAGTCACTAAAATTCTCTCCATTATAAGGTACCACTATAAATTATAAAATATAAATAACAAATCTTTAGAAAAATTAAAAAATTAATTTTTTTCTATACTGAGGATTTTGTTCATTGAAAATATTATATAACACATATTCAGTCACTAACTTTTCCACCAAACTATAAATTAATCAAACATTTATGAAGCAAATAAAAATAAAAAAAAATGTATTACCATCACTACTGTTGAGTACAGGAGGATCTTCAATAGAAATTCCTTCAGAATCATTAAAATTTCTATTTCTTGACTGCTTTGGCATCTTAGTTTTTTCTTTATGTTTAATGTTATAAGAGTAATCAGGTTGACGGTGCCGTTCACTTCGAGTTGACTTTTCATTTTCAAAAGTAGATAATTCTGATGTTTCTTCAGCAATTTTTAGTTTTGCCCGTGCTTCATGTAAACTAACTAAAATAATAATATTAACATTAAAACAGTGAAACCAGGGAAATAATTGGTTATAGTCCTTACCAATATTGTGAGACATGGACCTTGCCTTGAATAGTCAAAATCTATTTCATTAGGTTCGGCGATCAACAAATTTTTTATAATTTTTTATACTCTTTTTTGGCCACGCACAACAACCATTTTTAAACCAATAATCAGGCACTATTTCGACGCAGTTTTCCTCTTCAAAGCATACAATAGTCCACGGCATGATAAATTAAAAATATAATATACAATATTTACAAATCTGAAATATGAATATAAATTTACATTTAAACATTTATTCACAACACTACTAAAAATACTAGTTAGGTATACGCTTAATAATTAAAAAAAATTATTTAAATATATTTTAGTAAAATAAGTTAATTGTTTAACAAAGGCATTATAATATATAAACCCACATTATTTGAGACAGTATAGTTCAATATTAGATCTGTTACCTAATATTCAAGTCAACTTAGCCACAATTTTATGAAAAAAATTATATGTTAGTGTGATATTTGTGTAATATTATATTATATGTTATCGCTTATCGATAGTGGTTTGTTGTATATATCGCGCCGACCCCGGTGAATTTATATGTATTATTACGTTTCCGTCAGTGTTCGTTGCGAAGTTGTGTCGCGAACTACTACGCCTCATGACGTTCAATAAATATACCTTGTCAATAATATCTTGAGTATTTATTATTTTATACAAATATCACAGTTAGGGTAAGGTAATTTTATTATAATTTTTAGTTGATTACTTAGTGATAAGTTTTGTATTATAAAATATATATTACTAGTTTGTAAAAATCAGAGTATTTAAATAGTTTTGCTATATTCACCTTAAAAAAAAAATATTAATTACTGTCCATCAATATCATGAATAATTGGAATGGCTATCTTTTGTCAATTCAATTCCAATAACATCATTTTATTTTTAATAAAATTATAAGACCAGTATTTATGAGTTAGCGACAGGTTATTAACTTCATAAATGTTTAATACAATTGATGGAATAGGCTTTTCATAAAAAGCTTTTTTAATTTCAAATACTTTTCCAATAATAACAATTTCATTTGTCTTATATACGCTTACTATATTTTCAACTTTTATTATATCATTAGAATCATTTAATATAAACGAGTCAGCATTGTTTCAAACTTTAATTTTAATATTTTTTAAGTATAACTTTTTATATTGAAATCCTATAAGATTTTCTAAAAGTGGTCCATCAGTGTGTTTATGTTTTAATTGTTCACAGTTTTTCAAATGTTGTTCAGATGTTTTTCCCTCAATAAAATGTCTTTCATTACATCGCCTTATAATTTGTTGAAGTGGTTTGTCGTGTTTACGTATCATTTTTTTTAAACTTTTTAAATAATTCTCGAATGGAAAAGCTGCAATGTCATCTAAAGGTCCAAATCTTTCATAGTCATCACTAATATGAACTAGCCCATGAACATTAAAAGACATAAAATGTTTTCCATATAAAGTTTCAAAAGTTTGCACAAAGTAGTATAATAAATTTTGAGCATATTTTACATAGTTGCCCATGTTGCTAGTTAATAAAATATTCATAGCTATACTTAATGCCATAAAGTGTTTATAGCAATTGTTATTTAAAATATTTTTAAAAACAACTTGACCCGTATAAACTAATATTTGTCGTAATTCGGTAGCTTTAAATCGATTTAAATCATTTAATCCTCTTGGTTTTCGGGAAAATTCACATGGTATGAAGGGTCTTAATGACAAAAGTGATGAAGATAATTGCTTGGATACTGAGCTTGGTAATCTTACATTTAAAGGACCTTTGGCAACCCATAAATATAATAATTTGCGCATAATACCAAGACAGGTCAAATGCATGTAATCGAGACCAAATGAGCTAATAATATTAATAGGCATTTCTATAGAAATTGAATTTTCAACATGATGTTCTTCATAGTTTCTATTAATATAATCAATGTGAGAACGTTTTATCATAGTAGAAGAATAAGGAAAACAAGTTCTGTTTTTTAAGTACTCCCCTTCTACTGTACAGCGGGTACAAGAATCAAATCCAGAATGTCCCTTTATCTTTAAAATAAAACTTTTTGCTGATCATTGATATACACAGTTATTTTTATTATTTATTAAGCAACACACCTACATTGTTTGACATGGGCTCGAATATGTGGTTAAATATTAAATATTAAACATATAATATACTATGTAGATGGTATTATTTATAGACAAAATATAACTTTATGTATTTTATTAAATTCTGGCAGTAAAATTCTATAAACTATACTATACTATTGGACTATTTAATAAATAATAATTGTTAATAATTAATTAATAATTGATTTTATTATTTACACATTTATAAAGCAACGCACCTATATTATTTAAAAAAGGCTGGATTATATGGTTCTTTTAAACTTGATAGACAATAGTACAGTATAACTTAATAAACTGGTATTTAATTAAATTCTGGCAGTTAAAATGTATAATATGACTATACTATTCGATATTACTTATACAGGTAGCAGGGGCGCCATTTGGGGGGGGGGCAGGGTGTGCACTCTCACACCCTGTAATTTTGTTGTCTACAATTGGCCTAGGCAGCATTAATACTATGGCCTTAAGTTTGCCTTCATTTTTTTAACGATTGGCCTGGAGGTGGGAAAAAATTGGTCTCTTTAATTGTTTGCACACCTTAAAAAAAAACTAAAATGGCGCCCCTGATAGGTAGGTTTGACATAGGCTCGATTATGAGGCTAAACATTATAAATATATAATTTTCTATGTAGTAGGTACTACAGTTTTTAGGCGAATCAAATTTATTGTAGCATACAAATACTGCAACAGCTTCTAAACAATACAATATTAATAAACAAAATATAACTTTATTGTAATGATCTGACTATGCACTATTTGATATAACTTAAATAGGTGTGTTTAGTTATGAAATAACTATTTATTAAATAATACTTATTTTATTATTTATTTTTTTTGCAACGCGCCTAATATTGAACGTGTGCTGGACTATATGGGATGGTACTTTTATACTTGAATTAGACAATAGTAATACAATTAACCTACATGTATACTATGTACTATGTAGTACTTAACATATTACAGATTTTACTGTTTTTAGGGAAGTTGATTGCTTGAGGTAATGTCATTTGGTAATTATAAATTTTATGTTTCTATATTGACGTTGGAATTTCTTTTTACAATTACTTGAAGGAAAACTTATGCCTAACCTTGTATTGGATTTTTGAACCTTAAGTATAACTACTCCAAAACGTGATGACAAACATAAAAATAAAAATATAAAAAAATAAAATAACACACATCTTTGTAAAATCAATACATTCATCATTCCGTTCAGAATCTAAAAAATAGAAGAATATTAATCATAAAAATTTACTTTCAATTACATTGATTTTAATAATATATCATTACCAGCATTTGCAGAAGTTCGACTAACAGCAGACGTGTATGATTGTGGTAGCATATTTTTTGTACTCGGATTATTAAAAAAATCTAGAATTTTAATTTATAAAATATAATTTTTAACTCATACCTACCAATGCATTTATAATAATTAAATTAAAACATTGCAGCATTTAATAAAAATATCTTATACTTACTGTACCCAGAATTTATTTACTTATAACCTATCATTAAAAAATATCTTAAGAATAGGTATTGTATAAAAACAATTTTTGAAATATTTTGTGTTAGATATAATGGAGGTATTAAAAATATATAAAAAACTAAACATTAAATTTTTAGTTATTAAATTAATAAATAAAGGATATACAAAATTAAATACCTAAAAATCTACTTAGTCTAGATATCAACCTTATATTAATATTCTTGACCGTATGAATAGTATTAATTGAGTTGTAGGGGGGTAGTCGTTTTTCATGTATATATGTATTTAATTTCATTTT